ATAAAGGTGAGAAAGGGTGCAAAGAGTTCAGACAGATCAGAAACTATCTCTATACTCGTTTGGACTTCTCAGAACAATTTTTGGAATTCTCAGAAATCATTTTAGAACTCATTTGCACATAACAGATGATTGGAGGATATATTTACCAGATTAGTGGGAGTTGAATAGTTATCATCGGTAATGGAGTGCGTACAGTGACTGAATGTGCGACTCTTTCGTAATCGTCTGATTCGACAATAGGTTTGATAAATTTGACCTGAGACAAAAAACAATGGGAAATAAAATTAGGGATGATTTTTTCAAGTCAGTGACCTATAAGAAATATGTGAAATAAATTTGTGATTTATTTGACCTCACACTCGTCGTTGTTTGGTTGCCCTAGAAGGAAACTTCCACAACGCACAAATTGTAAGTCACTTGATTTGTGGAAGATGGTATGAGTAGAGAGCAGGTTCACAGGATTCATAATTTATAAAATAGTCTGAGTTCTCTGCGAACACTACCTGTGACGAATCTTCAGTCTGATCTTTGAAATTGAGAAAGAAAGATGAGTAGATCAATTCACGTGAACCTTTTCAGAGATGATGGATATGGAAGCTTTTTCCAAAAGGAAGTGGAAGAAGGCTAAAGACGTTGAAAGTAGAGAAATGAATCACAAAGCTGCCAAACGGGTTTTCAAATTGTAGTTTGAATTATATGGTGGAGTTCTATTTTGAAAGTGGTATCCAAACGTGAAGCGGGAGTGATAGGTTAGAAATGTAATTTCAAAATACATCCAAACAGAGCCAAAAAAAGTCAAAAACCAACTTTTAACCAATATTTCAAAACATCCCTAACTTAACAACTAACCATTGATTTTCACCAATTAAAAAAAAAAAACACTATTGAGCTCACTTCTTTTTACTAATCAAGATACTTACAAATAAAGGAAACCTAGGCCTTGTTTGGCAAAGGCTAAAATAGCCAATTTTAGGCTAAAATTTATAAAAAGACAAAATAGGCTAAAATAGCTAATAAGACAAAATGTTACATCAAACCCATAATCATTTCACTTTTTCTCCTACAAATATCACATCCAACTATAAAAAAATATAATCATCTTTTCAAACACAAAAATTTTAACCTATTAAAATAGTCAAAAACTAAAATAGCTTACTAAACTAGCTAACTTCCCAAACATAAAAAAGCACCCCCATAGCCACTTCAAGAAAAAGTTGATTTTTGACTTATAAAAAGTTATAATCTATATTCTTAAGCTACACCAAACACAACAAAATAACTTAAATTAAGTTAAAAGTTAAAATAAACCGCTTATAAGCCCTACCAAACAGGCCCATAAGCTTCTTATTTCAGCTTTTAGCTTAGGCCTGGTTTGGCAACCTTCCAAAAAGTCAAAAAGTTATCCAAAAAGTTAAAAAGTTATCACTATTCATAAAAAAAATATTAAAAAAATAACACACAAATATTCATTCAAATCAACTTTATGGCCAATGACATAATGAACTACTCAGTGAAAGGAAGGAAAAAAAAATTTCCATATGTGCCCCAAACTAAATTGGATGATAAAGTTTGGCCCATAGAGGCCTACCATAGGTTCCGTTTTGATAATCTGAACTGTTCAATATGTAGAACTCGTCTAGCACTATATGCCTGTAAAAAAATCACGTCTATTGGATATCGCTAACTACATGATCAAATCAGTGTTGTATAAAAATAGATGGTGTTATAGTTAATAGTTAACAAAAAAAAAAACTAACACGATCAGATAGTTATCGATATCCAATCAACGTGATTTTTTACAAATATATAGTACTCGATGAGTTCTATACATTGAACAGTTCCGATTAGAAAAACGGGACCCGTGGTGGGCCCTTATGCGCCAAACAACACCATCCAATCAAAGCCCGAGAAGGAGACAATAATTTCTCATATACTCCACTAGCCCACTCCACTGCCAATCTGTACGGCCTCCTACACAATCTTCTCCTACACACTTCTTTATACAATTTTTTAATACATATTTTTTCATAAAAAGTCAAAAAAGTTAATCCAAACATCCATATTTTTTTCCTCAACTTTTTAGTCCCAAAAGACAAAAAGTGCACTTATTTAGGACACCCCAAGCAACCCCTTAATTTAAGCTATTTTGTTGTGTTTGGTGTAGCTTAAGAATACAGATTATAACTTTTTATAAGTAAAAAATTAACTTTTTCTAAGTCAAAAATTAACTTTTTCTTGAAGTGGCTATGGGGGTGTTTTTCTAAGGGCCTGTTTGGTAGGGCTTATAAGCTACTTATTTCAGCTTTTAGCTTAATTTAAGCTATTTTGTTGTGTTTGGCGTAACTTAATAATACAGATTATAGCTTTTTATAAGTCAAAAATTAACTTTTTCTTGAAGTGGCTATGGGGGTGCTTTTCTAAATCAACTTAAACGGCAAGCTGGGAAGGAAGGGGTAAAATTACTTAAATGCCCCTCATCAACTTCAAGTATTACCAAAACACCAATATATAAACCCTCGATCTCAATCACTGTTCATTTCTTTAAGAGACAAAAACTTGAAAGGCTTTTTCCGATAGCGATTTCCGGTGAGCTCTCTCTCTCTCTCTCTCTCGATCTGACGATGAGGGTTGCCGATGAAGAAACCAGAGCTCTTTCTGACGAACAACTATCTTTTCTCTCTCTCTTACAAACCTCCCGTCACCACTGCCATCGCGATTGCGACCTGAAACCTAACCAGCGCCATCGCGATCACGATCTGTTCCGTGCTCTCTCTCTCTCTTTGTGATTGCGATTACGATCTGAAACCCTAACAACCGCCATCCCCCCTCTCTCTCTCTCTCTCTCTTTCTCTCGATCTGCGTTGTTTGTCGTCGTCGTCGTCGTCGTCGTCACGGTTGCGATCGCGATCTGTGTTGATTTGCATTGAAACCCTAGCCTTTGGTGACTGTTCGCCGATGGCGTTGAAACCCTAGAAAAAAAAATTTAAAAAAAATTAAAAACATAATTAATTTAATATGAAAAAATTAAAAAAATTATTTTTCAGAATTAATATTCAATACAATTTATTTAAATTAATATTGACTTTTCATAATTAAAAAAATTACTTTTCATAATTAATATTTACTTTTCAAAATAAAATGAAAAACAATTTATTTCAAAAAAAAAATTGTAATGAAACAAATTTAATAAAAACAGAATTAATTTAAATTGATATTATAACATTACACAGAATTAATACAGAATTAAACAGAATTTATTGAAATAAAATAATATGTAATGACATCACAACATTATTATAAATACATGGATATTAATTGATATTAGTTGTAATGAATTAATAAATTCAATAAAAAAAAGTAATGATGCTAATTAAGCCATTAATTGACACTAATTAATTTATAATGAAATAATTTTATACTAATTGATACTATTAATAATTTTAGTATTAATTGATGCTAATTAAGCCATTAATTTTATACTAGCTGATACTATTAATGAAATGATAATGTTTGTAATATTAATTATATTAACTTTATTAATGAGATAATTTTTTTAAATTAAAACTGAAAAAATGACAAAATAATCATTTTTATATTATATAAGGGTAAAAAGGACAATTATACAACAAAAAGTTATTTTACAGCTCAGCTGCTTAAATCCATAATCTCATAATTACACCAAACATGTTAACTGTTTATATCCACAGTTATAAGTTATAATCTATTAAGTTATAATATATAATAACTTTTTCACTGTTTTACCGAACAGGACTATGAGCCCTACCAAACGAGCCCAAGGCCCTAGTAGGTTTCATCATGCTGTACTGTATCATTTTTATACTCTAGGAGAAATTACAAAAACAAATTTAAAAGTTTGAACCATAAAAGAAAATACATTTTTAATTTTATTTTTAAATTTTAAATTTATTTTCAATCTAAATATGTATTTTCTCATCAATTTTACTTAATATAAATAAACAAATGATTTAAATTAAAAAACAAATAAAAAGATTAAGATTTAAATTAATAAAATTAAAAATTTATTTTCTTATAAGACTCAAATCTTGAGGGGTTTTTTTTAATATAATTGTCCCTATGTTTGGTTTGTGTTTGTAGAATATTTTTTGAGATAAAAAGTATGAAAACTTGTTTGGTTTGTCTTTTTTCAAAAATGATTTTGAAAAATTGTTTTGGAGAGAGAGTTTTAAAAAAAGTGATTGATTTGATGTGTATAAGAGAGAGAGAGTGATTTTGGAGAGTAGGTAACCAAACAAAATTTTGAGATTTTTTTTGAAAAAATTTGTTTGGTTTGATTACTTTTGAAAATTTATTTGTAGAGAATTTTTTTCAAAATTTTTTTTGAAAAACAAACCAAACTTGGGCGGGACGCACATTTAATGAGTCTCATTAATAAATTTCACATTTTATAAAATGATTGTAATTGAATTTTGTGCGTGTAAATAAATAAAAGAGAGTTATATGGATATCATAATAGGTGGATTTATTATTTAATAGGTTATAGGATAATTAATAACGTTTTTCATCAAATATTATTAAAAAGGTAACTAATTATTAATTTTCTGTGATAAGTTAAAAATTTTGTCACAAATAATTTCATTAATTATAAATTTTAGTGACAGTTTAAAAAAATAATTAGAAAAAATATACCTAATTTTTAACTTTAAGAGACAATTTGAAAAATTCATTACAAAAATTCACTAATTATAAGTTTTAGTGATAATTTATAAAAATCATGACAAAAAAGTCATTGATTATCAATTTTTAACAACATATATAAAAAATCATCAACAAATTATTTTTCGTAATAATTTTATAAGAACTTATTTTTAATTACACTGGATGAAAATTAAGAATTATTAGAAGCTATGCGTAATTTATTTCCAAATAGAATAAAATAATTGACTATATATACACTAGATGCTGCCTAACCAAACCAAGGTCTCACATCTCACGCTTACAAAAACCCCAGAAGCATCTTCATTCGTGTCCAAAGGGTAAAATTTCACTGTATCTTATCTTCCATACAACTACAATCCTGCATCTTCAAATGGCTCAGGTAAGTTTTTTTCATGATTGTTATTTACATAACTATATATGATGTCGAGAACCAATTTTCTATATTTTCCCCCTCATTTTTATTTATTTACTTTTTCTATTTCGAATTCAAATTGTATTGCAGAAGCTGGTGTTGAAGGTGATGACCATGACCGATGAGAAGACAAAGAAGAAAGCTATAGAAGCCGCTGCTGATATCTTCGGTACTCGTGATATGAATTTTTCCTTTTGTTTAATTCGATGATTTTTTTAATTATTTCTTCTATGGGGTCTTATAACCATCGGATTTTGATCTTTTGATACCAACACACCCCGTATATTAGTGGGATTGAAAATCGCATACTGTCAATAGAGCTGATTTGACTGCTATAAAAACTCTTTTTTAACAATTTTAAATTCACAACTGTGTCACTCGATTCACAAAGACAGCGTTTGATGAGGGAATTTAGAAAAAGATTTAGAAAGAGAAATAGAAAAAATCAGTAAAATATATTTTACACAGTTTTTATACATTTTTTTAAAAAAAATTTTCAAATCGTTTCTAAATCTCCCAATCAAATACAGTGAAAATGTATTGCTCGATAGTGATACCGTTACACTGCGACCGTTATTGATTCGTCATCTCTTTCATATACACATACAACAAAACCATAGATGAGTTGATGGTTAATTAGGTATAATTGATGTTGATTTGTTTCTTATTGTGATGGGTATGGGTATTGAATTTTTTGAACAACAGGAGTAGATTCGATAGCGGCGGATCTGAAGGAGCAGAAGCTAACGGTGATCGGAGAGATGGACACAGTGGCAGTGGTGAAAAAGATGAAGAAAGTTGGGAAGGTTGATATCATATCAGTTGGTCCAGCCAAAGAAGAGAAGAAAGAAGAGAAGAAAGAGGAAAAGAAAGAAGAGAAAAAAGAAGAAAAGAAAGAGGATGACAAAAAATAAAAAGCACTAAATTCCATGTACTTTTTATTCTTCTTTCCATTGCTTTCGCTTTCGGCTGGTTTCTCTTTTTATATAATATATAATGTATGGAAAATGTCTCGTAACTCAAATTTTGTGGCTTAAATGGCCAAAACGACGTCGTTTTGACCATTTTTATGTTATTCTGTACTCAAAACGACGTCGTTTTGACCATTTGAGCTACTTTTAAGCCACAAAATTTAAGTTACATAGCATTGTCGATAATGTATATATTATATATTAACAGCACCATTGCGTTAAAATAGTTTGAGAGGAAATTTTAAAAGTAAATAAATAAAATTGAACAAAATAGTTGCCGTTCTTTTCTAATCTTCAAGGGAATATTCTGGAACTCTTTTTATTTTATTTTTTTTCCTTTTCTGGTTAGGTATTTTCTATTTTAGTACATTTTTAACTGCAATATAACAATATCAAGATCAACTCAAAAGGATGTGCCCTTTCATAATAGAGGAAGACTATGTGCACTCCTAAAAGGATTTACAAAATTTTGTCGCATAATTTCTGATTACAAAATATCACAACTTTATTATTTGTAACTTTTTTTTAGATTGATATTATTAATAATTTTGAAATGCACATTATAAATTGATTATTTATAATTTTAGGTCAAGTTTGACATATTGTAAAAAAATCTAAAAAGTCAAAAAGTTAAAAAGTTAATGTTATTCACTAAAAGTCAAAAATTACGATTGCACAACTTCCAATCTTAATTTTTTTCCTATAAATTAATTTTTACAATTTTTATTACACATTTTTTCATAAAAAGTCAAAAAGTTAACCCAAACATCTATATTTTCTTCCTCAATTTTTTAGTCTAAAAAGACAAAAAGTATACTTATTTAAAACACTCCAAACAACCCCTTACTATAAAGTGACATAACATATCACAAATATTCATCACTTTAAAAAAAATTTCCAATTTTGTACGATGTGATAACTGGTTTTGTTACTTGCGCAAAAAAAAAAAAAAAAAAAAAAAAAAAAAAAAAATAAAACTTATTTGTTAACAAGTCACTGTCCATTTTCCCATTAAAAAAAAATAAGGTCTGAATGTCGATCACCAAAGTCCAAAAGCAAATAAATTCTCCACCAGGAAAATGAAAAAGACAAAAAGCACTGGATAGAAACAAATGCATATAATTCAAAAAATAATCAATAAACTATATTCATTGTGAACGGAATCCATATCTTATTTATTTTTGAAATAAGATTTGAGATAAATTTTTATAATTGATAACATTTTTCTTGTTCAACACGACAAGGCAGAGAAATAGACAAATGGTTCCCAAAAGCACCAGACACCTAGGCTCATGTATATGATAATGGCCCTATTTGATAGGGTTTATTTTTAGTTTATTTTAGTTTTTAGTTTAATTTAAGTTATTTTGATGTATTTGGTTCAGCTTGACAATACAATTTATAATTTTTTGTAAGTCAAAAATCAACTTATTCTTTAAGTGGGGGAGGAGAAACTTAATTTATAAGTCAAAAATTAACTTATGTTCACAGTTATAAACTATAAGCTGTTAGGTTATAAGTTATAATCACTTTCCCATAGCTCCACCAAACGGGGCCAAAAACATTTAGATCACTTTAATGAGAGGAATTGATGTTGATATGTTGGTTAAATATTGAATAATGCTATATATATCAATTAATATACAAATTAGTATATTAATAGATGATGTGGTATAGTTTTAGAGATTTTAAGTAGAAAAATGCTTGGGAGCATTAGAAATGGAGCACTAGAATGAGCACTATTGATGTGGCAGTGAGCCCCGCTCACTTTCTATGCATTCTTCTTTTTTTACCATTCCCAATGCATCAGTGCTATTAGTGGTGTATTTTTTAATGATCTAAATCATTGTTGTCTTAAGTATTTATAATTTGTATAATAAGTGGAGTCAAGTAATAATGATGCAATACCAATTAATACACAAATATGTATATTAATTGGTGTATGTACCACCACCATTAAATATTTATCTTTTTTTCCTTGTGAGTTTTATGCATGCAGCCGTCTGTTTAAATATTATGGTCAATTTTTGGCATGAGTGTCAATTTTGGTGGGCACCTCGAAAACAACTTAGCCTCCGTTTGGGTAGTGGGTTGGCTTTTTGGCTTTTTGGCTATTTTAGCCTGGTTTGGGAAGGGCTTTTTGACTTTTTGGCTTTTTTGACTTTTTTTGTGAGAGAGGATTGTAATGATTATGGGTTGGATTTGATGTTTTGTTTTTTGTGGCTAAAATAGCCTATTTTGTTTTTTGTGGCTATTTTAGCCAAAAAAGCTTGGCTTTTTACTTGCCAAACGGAGGCTTAATGGACCAACATTTTAATGTTTGACGCAAATACATTGTGTTTGTAATTTTATATTCAACTTTTTAATTAATTTGATGAATAATTCATTAGTGGTAATTTTGAATAATTTGATGAATTAGAAAAATTATTCATCAAGTATTTTTTTTATCAACGAACAAAATTTATTAACGATAATCAAAGTACAATACTTGAGGTATTATTCATCAAGTATTAAAGTTATTATATGTGACAATTATTAAAACAGGCATTATTAAGAAAGAAAAGTACACGATTTCGTTACACTGATTCAGTGAATGTTTATAATATAATAAATTAAGTTACACTTATCATTTTTCTATATCACATTTAACTTATTAGTCTCTCTTGTGACATATTTACAATTATTAATGCAATGGGTCTTACATTAGCTCCACTAATATCCAATGGAGATGTTAGCATTAGAAAGTGAAATGAAAAAAATATAAATTTCAATAAAATTTTCATTTATTTCTGTTGATTTTTTTTTCTTCATATTTTTTTGACATTTGGTAGTTAATTAAAAAAAAAAACAAAAACTAATTTGGGCAAAAAATAATTTTTATCTTTAAAAGGTAAAATCTTTTTATGAACGGAAGTTTTATCAATGTCAACACTTTACTATCATTTTCACCATCACCACAAATATAGTAGTTTTAAGGTGACTACTAAACGTATGAAAATATTATTTACTATAAGTATTTTTTCATATTTAAAAATAAAAACTATAATTAATTTAAGCCCTCGTTTGACAATTGGACTTTTTTGATTTTTTGGCTAAATTTGACATAAAAAGACAAAATAGAGTAATCAATAAAATAAAATATCACATTTAAATCAAAATCGAAAATTTAAAAAAAAAAAAAAAAATCCAAACAAACTTTTTAACTTAAGTTAAAATAACTAAAAAGTTAAAAAGTCAACCAAACTTCCCGAAACGAAGCCTAATCATTTGGATGTTTCTTTGACTTATTCAAAACTAGTAGTTCACATTTATACTTATAAGAAATAAAGACAAATAATGTAAAATACACAACTAGTAATACATTATTTATACTTACAAGAAATAAAGTCAAATAATGTAACATACACACACACACACATATATATATATATATATATATATATAAGTATTTATAAAAATAAAGACATTTACAACAAGTTCTATATTTTTGAAATTTATTCTATAAATTCTAATTAAGTTTTTTTGATGCTTAAGTCCATTAAATTTTAATATCGAAATGACCTTAGCACATATGTTTATCATTTTATGATTATCTATAAGAAAACATGATGATTTGAATTTATTAATTTTCAAAACTTTCAAATTGAAAAAAAGTAAATATTTTTTTCTCAAAACTGAAAATTTTAGTCATACAAGAAGACTGATAGATGGAACATTGATGTTAAAACGAAAAAAAAATTGTTAATATTTCTCAGTTTATTGATAGTAAATCAAACAAATAAGTAAAGACAAAAATATTTACCTCTCATACTTTGTTTTTTTTATCG